TATCAGGGAGCTGAGCATGGGCGTGCCCCGAGAGACGGGATAGCTGACTGCCTTCGACGGGGACATTCTCAACAATTGGGGCTGACCACCGGCTGCATAGAGCTGACCAATCTGGGTCATCAGGAACTCCGCATTGTTGGCGTGACCACGTTGCATGAGGCTGACGTAGCTTATTCTCGGCCCGAGCGCACGCAGTATCGAGCGGAAGAGTCCGTGCGGCGCGATTTCCACAATCAGCGCATTCTCGGGTATGTGGCGAACGGCTTCATGGAACAGCACGGGTGAAATCAGATTGTTAATAAAGTATGCTGCCGAGGCCATGCGACAGGCCGGTGTCTCCCAGTCCCGCTCCAGAGCGCTGGTGCTCAGCCAACGCTTGGAGCGCAGCTTGGGCTCTGTGATCAGACGTTCCAAATTCTTGCGCAGCATTGGCGCAGCATCCGCAATGTATTTGCTATGGAAGGCATAGCCACCCGACTCCACAGCTCTCACGAAGATACCCTCGGCGTTCAGCTTTTGAATGGCTGCATCCATGGACTCAACGGGTCCCGACACCGTGCAGTTGTCCTCGCTGTTGTGGCACACAGCATAGCAATCCGATGGCAGATGCTGGCCTATCTCTTCCCAGCTCAGTCCCACTGCTGCCATTTTGCCCCTCGGCAGTCCTGGCGTATCCAAGACGCTCTTGCCACGCCAGTAAGCGGCCAACACCGTCTGCTCGGCTGTCAGGCATCCATCCATATAGGCAGCGCCCAGCTCACCTGCCGAGTGACCTATAATTCCATCGGGTTTTATGTTCAGTGTCCTGAGTAAGTCCGTCAAAGCCACTTGAACGGCGGCAATCGAGACGAAGGAGTAGAGCATGTTGTCAAATGTCCGCTCGGTAGAGCGCGTGAGGACCTCTATCAGGTCAAAGTCCATTTGATTGAGTACCTTTAAGGTTCATACATATTACGTAAAACATTTATTATTAATTTACGTTTTTCCTATATAAGCAGCACAGATTATGGGCTGACGGCGCTAAGTGATTATCAATAAGGAATACCTATACTATATCATATAAATGTACTTTATTGGTTTACTCACCTCGGCGCAGTGCTGTATGGACTTGTTGAAGACCTCGATTTGCATCAGATCCTTGGCCATGCTGGCCCACTGGCTGCCCATGCCGGCGTAGACAAACCAAATAGGTCGCTGCTCCTCTTCGTAGGGCTGTACCGCCTGCTTGACGATGCCGGCTGGGCCTAGGACAGAGAAGCCGCGATAGGGATGCAGTGGAATGGGCTGCGAGTGGATGTCATTGATCAGCGCCAAGAACTCATCGTCATTGCGATGCTTCGCAGCTGCCTCCAAGAGCTGCTGCACTGCCTGTTCGGTGCGCCCGGAGCAGGTAACAAGCTTCAGCAAAGGGTCCTTCGGCTTTGTACTCAGCTTTTTCTTCTTCTCGTGTGACTTGAGAATTACGTGAGCATTGGCGCCTCCAAAGCCAAACGAGTTGAGGCCCACAATGCCGCCCTGCCAGGGCAGATTGCGGTCCGTCACTTTGAGTCGGCCCTCGACCAGGGCTGGTACGGCGGGATTCGGCGTGTGGTAGTGCAAGTTCCTGGGTATAACACCCTCTTCCATGGCAATGATCATCTTGGCCAGCGCACTCACGCCCGAGGCGGGCTCAGCGTGACCCATATTGGACTTGACAGATCCAATTAGCAGGGGATTGGGACGCGCAGGATGGCAAAAGAAGTTGCTCAGCATGTTTGCCTCCTGATCGTCGCCCACGGGCGTACCGCTGCCATGGGCCTCCACATAGACCACCTCGTCGGGACTGAGCCCGATCTCACTGTACGTCTCCTTGAGCAACTGAAGCTGCATGCGGCCGTCCGGAAAGGTGACGCCCTGCTCCTTGAAGCCATCCGTATTGGTGCGCACATTCAGAATGGATGCATAGACGCGCTTCGCCTGCTCACTGCGCTGCAGGAATACCACGGCACAGGTATCGGCTCGGGCGTATCCATTTGCGGCCGCGTCGAACGTCTTGCAGGCGCCATCCTGGCTAACGATGCCCAGACGCAGAAACTGCAAGGCAAAGATGGGCTTCAGTATGAGATTGACGCCGGCCACCAGAGCGTAATCGCAGCGTCCGGCACGCATGTCCGTGTAGGCGTGAGAGAGCGCCACCAGGGAACTGGAGCAGGCGGTGTCGACGATGAAGCTGGGGCCCTTGAAGTCGAACGTGTAGGAGATGCGGTTGGCGAACATGGCGCGGGCACAGCCCGTCAAGCAGTAGCCATTGATGCTGCTGGGCTCCATGTTGGGTATCTCGTGCTCCGTCTCGACAAAGGAGAGGCCAATGTAGACGCCGGTGCGAGTGCCGCGCAGCTCTGACGGATTGATGCCGGCATCAATGATGGCCTCGTGTGTCAGCTCCAACAGCATACGCATGCACGGATCCATGAGCTCGGCCTGCTTCTGGTGTACGCTAAAAAATTTGTCATCAAATTTTTCCAAATCCTCATCTCTCATTTTGGCCATTCGCTCTGGTAAGCCAAATATGCCTGTGGATATACACACATACATTTATATTGGACTGCAAAACATATCGGGCTAGTCAGGTATTGCCCCTACCTGCCTCCCAGCGTCGCGGATCGTCAGTAACCATATCAATGCCGTTAAGTAAGTTCTGTTTGAACTCCTCCACATTGCTGCTCTCCGGAAATTTGCCCGACAGCCCCGATATGACAATATCGCCCACTCTACTGGCAGCTCCATTGCTTTGCGCTGTCGCCTGGTCCGCCCTTTTCTTGCTGCCCATTTTGTTTATTTGGTTCAGTGTCGTATTGGTATCGGATTAATCTGTGCATGGCATACAAATATATAATAATGAATCGAATTTCAATTTAGTTGCAGCAAGTAAAAAATTGTTTAGAAAAATATAGTCATTAGGAGTTTTTAAAGTCTTAAAAAAAAAACAGTAAAAAATACAGTAAATAAAATTAATAATATAATTAAATTTTCTTGAGTTTAATGAAAAATAAAAATGAATGCCTATTTTCCAAAGCTTTTTTTATTTTACTAATTGCTTTTAGTAAACTAAGCCTAGATTATCTATGCGAGCGCATCAAATTCAAAAAGCATAAAATAAACATATTTCAAATTTAAAATATGAGTTAGCTTCGCTTAAAATCTTTTAAGCAATTGCAGTTATTTTATCTAAATGAAAAAATCATAAGCTGCACTACATATATTTCATATTACTTTTTAAACTAATCACTAAATTTTCAACAAAAAATAGTTAAAATATAAAAAAATCAATGAATTAAAAAAAAAAAAAAAAATTAAATAAAAAAAAAAACAATAAATAAATGTAAAGAATGTAAAATTGAAAAAAGAAATAATCAAAGAACTAAAAACATGTTAAATAAAATAAAATCAGTAATCAATCAACTAAAGAAATGCAATTTAAAATATTTAACATAAATAATAGGTAAATAAATAAATAGAATAAAATTATTTTAAACGCATTTTACAATCGACTTTTTGTTTATTATTAAGTCCAAAATAGCTTAAAGTTGATGTCATTTAAAAAAGTCGATTTTTAAATATCGCAGCTTGATATTGATAATATAAAAACAATACGGTGAGAACTAAAATTAATAAAAATTTAAAAACTTCTATTTCTTATGGGGTATTATATTGTAATTTACCGATACGCATTCAATATTTTGAAACAGTTTTAAAAAATATGTTTTGCTTCTTTAAATTTTGATAAATTGGTTCGAAGGATATCACAGACTTTTAAATCTTTGTATAGATTTATAGCTGTTTCAGAACGATATATATTTTGTCATCAGCATATATTTTTTAATCTCTAAATCTTAGATTAGTAGGATATAAATTTATTTTTTATTATGGGATAAAAAATTGTAAAATATTTTGTGCGTATTTGCGTATTTAGTTAATTCACTCGGTCAAATGTTTTATTTCATTTGTTCACATTGTATTACTCCAAGATAAATAATAACTCAGTAGCTCAGTACAATGTAAATAATAACACAATTAGTTTTGAAGGGGCCATCGCCCCATGTGTAAGAATCAACTGAAATTCCTCTCACTGTAACACATTCGATGATATGTAAATGGAGTTTTAGGCATTTGATTGGAATGCGCACAGCACGAGCAAATGTCAACGGGAATAACAAATGGAATTTTGAAACACGCCACGTTGTGTGTGGTAACAGGTCAAGCAGTGGGTCCCGAACTTTTCTGGTTGCTCTGAATACGCACAAATACACGCACTCACATATACATATACATATACGTATGTATATAATATATATTCTTGTATAGCTCTTTTCACTGTCACTCACTTTATCTTGTAGCGTTTGTTTGACACCGTATATCCCTTGAAGGATCTTGTTTTGTTGTTTTGAGTTTGCGCTACAGGATATCTTCGATTATCGAGTTGATATATCCTTTTTGTCTCGGCTTGATATCGTTCCGACTAGATCCGAATGCACACTGAACGCGTCGCGCACTGCAGACACTCTTTTTAAGCATTCGGTTCTGGGGGGGAGGAACGGAAGAGTTCTAAAGTCGCATACATAATCGCCGATATCCATAGCTAATACTAAATTCGTCTATCCGTTCAAAGCTCTAGACTCGACACAAAGACTGCGATTGAATTGCGACCAAGCGTCGATTGCGCCCCTCTGAATAATTCATTGTTATGCTAAAGAAAAACCTTTCAGAAATTCTAACAGAAATTGCGACGCACCGACAGCAGGAGAAGCTGGACAGGTGTGCCAACCCAGCACACCAGCCGTTAACGTACACCCGTACACCGGCTGCCTATCCATGTTGTGCTGAAAAACCCGTGCTCGTGCCTAAGCTTATGCCCATACCCATGCCCCTTAATTAGTCCAAGTGTGTATGGAAACGCCATGTTGACCTACTTTAATATAAAAAAACTACCAAAAAATAGAACAAAAACAAATTTAAGACTTTTAATAGTTGCCGCGAGCTCTGCAGGCCTGACGAATGAGCTGCTTCTTCGTTAGTTTGCACTTCTTGTTTTTCGGACGAGCGACTGGCTGTTTGTAGTTAAATTTGCGTCGCTTTTTAACACTGGTCTTCGGTTTGCGAACCCCATTACGCGGGTCCTTCAACTGCGGAGATGTCAATAGACTATCAGTCAGACAATCTCAGCTTAAGTTTCTGCACACACTTACTGTCTTGGCTAGACGCTTGACCACACTACGTTCGTGTCCCTCGGCGAGCGCTTGCTCATCGACTTGTTGGCACGCTGCGACGTCCTTCTTGGTACGCAAATTGAAGGGCATGCGAATGCGTTTGTCGCTCAACAGGAGTAGGCCTAGATTGGAGCCCAGCTCGACGGAGAACTCCACTGCCCGCTTCAGAGTGCCAAATGGACTGATGACATCGTCCATGACCACGTCCTTTATCTTTGCACACAACGCATCTACTGTGGTGCCTGTGGGCATTTTGCATTTTTGTGAATTTATCACCTATCTATACCGTTACTTTGTGACTTTTACTCACATAGATCTGGCTGGCGACTTAGCAGATCTAGCACGTACGGCAACAATGATGTGGTATTAATTTCCATTTGAAATTATGTTATATCTAAAATATTATAAAAAAAAATCTACAAATTTACTGCCCTGAGTTTCCCTACCATATGTTAAACAATGATTAGGTAAAGTATAAATTCTTTCCCAACGTGTGCTTCGTTTGTGACAACTTTCGAAAGGGTTTCATGATCTACAATATTTGTTTTCATGATGGTATCAAATATACAGTTTAAAATTAGCTCTTAGTTTTGTTAACTTATGTCTAAAACAAAAAAACAAATAAAAAATAATATAAATAAAAATAAAAAATTTATAATTTTTTTTAAATAATTTTTTGTTTTATTATTATTGGTTTTTTTAAATTTTGTTTAGATATATGTATTTTATTATTTATTTATTATATATAAGATATTCAAGCATTATATATTGAGGCTTTACTTGAAATTGTCATAGTCTCCCAGCGTTATTAACGCCCGTTCTGCCCCGTTTATGGACTACAGAGTCTCAACAGTCTATAATTCTCTTCGCAAATAATCAAAATATACAACCTCTAGCTATGTGGGAAATCGAGCAGTCCAGCAATATTTATATCATACGCCTATCGAAACCCAATTTCAACTTGCATTATAAACTAACTTTCTTCCCTTTATAAAATGAAATGAATATGTTTACGTATGCATATATTTATAAACTTGAAGGCTATAAATAAAATTCAGGAATACATTTATTTCATATTACGTCAATTATACTAAAACATTGCAACTAATTTACGTAAATCAAAGTTTCTCTACGTAATATACGAAATAAAAAAAAAAAAAGCAATTATAATAAAAGAATATTTGTTGGCAATAATTCGTTCACCTCGAGTTCACAATTCACAGTTCATGTTGAGGGACTTTAGCCTAGCATTATCATCAGCATCAACATCAACATCGCCTTCATTATTATGTTTATAATTAAGAACATATGATAATAGCGACAAACTATCGCAGCTTTCTGAGGCCATGGTCCATCATAACAATTTCTAGGCACGTTTCTGCTGTGATTGCATTTAGATGACATGATAATGATTTTATAAAAATACATAAGTAAAAATTCGCAAATCATTTATTACTTAGCTAAGCATTTTCCATCAACCTTCAGATAAGTAAGGTGCATTACCAAAAAATTTAAGACAATTTCTGCCTAAGCTTGCAAAATGCTTCAATGAAAGTAAAGTAAAAACATAATTCGTTTAATTTGTATTTCCAATTTAGTATACGAATAGAAATACAAAATCTAATATTAATAATTAATATATTGATATATGGATACTTGGCCACCACATCAGCGGTTACCATTAATGTTCAGGTAAAGAGTGCACGTGCATTACCTCATAGTTGAACACATTTCTCCCTAAAGATTACTAAATATTTAAATGAAAAAAAAAAAAAAATCAAAAATAAAATAAAAATTCACTTTTTGCCTATGTCCAATTTACCATACGAATAGGAATTAAAAATCTATTATTTATGCGTTAAGTAATACGGCCAAGATAAGAATGTATTTCGCTATATAACAGGTGAATAAGTTCCGTATCAATGCCGAATGCGTCTGCATGGCCACAGCAACAACGACAACTTATGAGCTATAAATAACAAGTGAGAATTTTTAAGAGGGAGTGGTTCATTGGTAGATACCCTGTAGAAAATTGGCGAGCAATAAGATGGAGTTTAGCTGCATTTCTACCTAAACTAAGCAACTGTGAGGAGTCGCAGTCGAAATTAGAAATAGGGAAAGCCCAAAATAGTTGTGTGCGCATCATACACACCTTTTTCGCTAGCTTTACAGGGTATCAGAGGCAAAACATCACCAGACCAAAACAAAGACGCGTGCTGCTACTCTTGATTGCGCTGGCAACAGCAGACGAGGATTGCTTCCAGTGCGCCTTGACCTTGCTTGGGTGATAACCGTGCCACATCGCATCGTCGCCCATCTAGACCGACACACGACTATCTGCCGTTGCGGACACATGAGAACAATGTGATTAGCTCCAGTGAGCCGCGTGCCAGCGGCAATTGTTGATAACTGATAACGCGGCGATTGGTTAGTCAGGCTGGCGCTGACATCGAACTGGACCTGCGGAAATTTACTACAAACAAAGCAAAACACACAAAAACTAAGCAGTGTGTGTGTGTGTCACGCGCAGTCATACGGATATATACATACATACATGTACATATATGTGCAGTCTATTAATTATATATATTTGTAAGTGTATATACATGTTGTATACGCATTATCGGCTGACGAACTTATTATATACGTTTATATTATGTATTTCGACCACAGCCACATCACATTTGCCTGCATGTTTGATTGAAATCACGCATACGACCAGTTGCCCTTGGGAATGCAGCCTGTCAGCAGAATGCTCACACATGAATATTCTTGACTGAAAAATGTTTGAAATATGTTAGCCTTAGCTTATCGGTATGGCTAAAGATGCTATAATGTATATACATATATGTATGTATGCTAGAGTGCATAGTTGACTGAAATCACGTATACGACTAGTTGCTCCTACAAGAGATTAAACAAATATAGATACATATGCATACATACAGTTCTATGTATAAACTTTTCGTTTCAGCTGATGTTTGCTTTGGTGCAGCCAGACAAAAAATACGTACATATATATATATATATATATATATATATATATAGAATTCGAATATATATGTGATTTAAATATCCCGCATGCGACCAGCCTCTCTTGAAAATACGAAATATACATATTAAATATATGTATATATCTCCGTAACTGTGTATTTGTTTATGAAATAAGTCTTTCATTCGCATTATCAGCTGACGGCGTGTGGCTGCCCAGTTTATGCTTATCAGGGATTTTTCACATCTGCGTATCTGCATATCACGCATACGCCTAGTTGAGCCCAGGCATAGACAATCAGCAGGAGAATAGGCCCATATATTGTATATCTATATCTATGTGGCTTAAGAGTCTTGGCACAGCTGCTATACATAGTATTTGAATTGATTTGAAATCACCCATACGACCAGATGCCCTTGGGAAAGCAGCTCGATTGCTGATAACGGTTGATGATAGCCCGATCAGCTGCAGAACTGTTAGCCTTTTCACGGTTACTTAAAGGTGAGTTTAAACAACCGCTTGGCGTCTACGTCAGAGGCTTAATAGTTGAACCTCAGGCTAGTGGTGGTGCTGTGATGCAAATTCACGCGAAGCACAAACACTTGCGTCACAGCTCGTTGTTCAAAGTTCTAAACGCAAAGGCAAATAACTTACGGCTTTAGTATAAACACAAAATTGATTGAGATCATATTTTATTGCATTTCGGGCAGGACACCAGCGTGAATAGAAATAGAATAGTTCACAGATAACTGAATATTTAGTTAAAAATAATTGAAATCAGTAATAGCCTGGAGTATAAATATATGAGGAGTATAATAGATAAGCTCAACGCCTTAGTTATGTTAAGTCAGGTTTGTTTCCATCTATGATAAATAAGTAAATAGATAATGGATTAGATTCCAATTTGGACTTTTGCTTAAAAATTTCATTGTGGATTGAAATTGCTTTCTCTTAATTTCAAATTCTTAATTTTATGTACACACCTATACATATGTATATGCATGTGTATATATAATATATGTTTGTATGTACATCTCGACATGAGGTTCACGCGAATATATTTATTTTAATAGATTCCGTTTGACGACAAAACGCACCACACACACAAAATCAAACAAAAAACAAAACAAGAAATACACAGACCGGGCCAGACTCGAGCATTTGGGTCAATTTATAAATTAAAATCGCGATTCTCAGATAATTGCGCTTTCATTTGTTGCAGCTATGCCTAGATGGGCACGAGTTCAGCCGCCCAAGAATTGACAGCAAATGAAGAAAGTAACTCAATTCCTTTATAATATATCGAGGAGCATGAACTAACACACAAATGGGCATAAATTAAGTAGGCTGACTCGTGTAATGGCGACAATGGCAACTACAGCTACAGATTGAAATGTTGAATAAACTTAGTTTTATTGAGGACACTCGCAGTAGTAGGACGACGACTGTAAAATACCCTTTTGAATTTAGCTAGTTCGCATAGCATCGAATTTATTAAATATTATTTATTAAAAATATATATATATATCTATATACCTATTAATATTTAATATATTTTACTTTTATCTGAAAATATTGACTTAATTATAATAAAATAATTATTAGTATATTTCTTTTGATAAATTCTCTTTTCTAATATGTATATCAAGTTTATTATCAAATATATAGATTACAAAGTCAAGAAGAATTTCGTTATGTAAGCCTTGCAAAGCGGCAAGTTTTCACTGCAACGACCTTCTAGAAGATGATAGACAGAAATTAAAATTAATTTGCTAAGGGGTTAAATGAACTGATTGCAAGATGTGAAGGCGGATAACACCAACTATTGCATGGAAATTCGTTAACTGAATCATGACCAATAAATTAAGCATAGTACCAGGAAATTTATTGTCATTTATTATTTATTAGCTATTTAAAGGCGAAGCTCAGTTAAAAATAAAATTAAATTCAGAAAATATTGAATGTATAATTTAATCATATCCATATATATGTATCTTATGCTATACAAATGTTTCTCAACAGCTGTCTATGCAATGAAAAAAAAAAAACACCGTTTGATTGCTGAGCTGATGGTTTGTGACATACGTAGGGCATTCTATAAAAACATATAAAATATATTGTATTTATTTAAGCAAAGTCAGCAAATATACTTAAATTAACATTACACTGCATAACATTGTTACACTTACGTAGGAGATACGCGGCTGAGTGCAAACATACCTAACGGGTGCACGTGCTGTAAGTGAACCCAAGCTGTTGGTGCTTACATTAAAGGTGCTTAAGTCGAGCAAATCCATTGGGTTAATATCCGCTACAACATAAAACTGTGTAAACAGCTATAAACATCGAAGTAGCTAATGTTTTTAACATTTTGAATATTTCAATTGTTAATTGTCCGATTTTGAGGTTGTTGTCGGAAATGTAAATAAATATATTTAATCGGCAAAGTCTATTAGCAGGTAAATAAAAAAAATCAAATATATATACATATATATAATAATTCAATCTGATTTATGGAACAATTGTCAGAGCAATTTTCTGCATCTATATAGTATATATGAGGTTATAACTTTTAGAAGCGACAAAAGCATTGCATACTTTAGGGCAGTCTTCGAAAATATATTTCATTTGATTTCTTTAGCAATGTGGTAGCACTGAAGAGATTTCTCTTTTATTTCACGAAGAGTACGAATCAGATAAAAGAGTCAAGAATTGTCAAGATAATGCATGTGAGATATTTAATGAGTAAGAGAGCTCTAGAGAGGAGATTCCCTGAACAGTTAATACTCCAATCTTTCTACGCTTGTCATGCTGATCGAAAATATGTATTTGCTATGGGTTCTGTTTCATCTCCTTCAGCCATACATTTTTACAAATCCAATATGGTCCAATATAATAGATTATAGAAAAAAGCATGTTTTGTATTTTAAATTTAGTTTTTATTACATTACATCACATATATTAGTTACAAAGCAACTATTGAGATAGTTTGCGGAGTACGTAACTGGCATATGTAGTCCTTTCGGCCGTTGCACGGGACCGCTATCATGCACGGCCCTGAAGAATGCTTTTCCTCAATCATCACACAATTGTTTGTGGTACTTTTAAGTGGCGGCTCATTCTCACACCAATGCTCGAAGCTTGGTTTCCTGCCGGTCGACATGGATACATAATCTCCTTCTGTCGCCAGATTCGACAGATCCACCCAGTACTTTGTACCGTTAGAGAAAATCTTTCGATGCTCTTGAATTTTGTATAGCGTCTCCATTTTTGAAATACTTATAAGTTCAGCGCCTACTCTATGACAATTGTGTAGAGCCGAGTACCAGGACACCGATTGTGGTCCTCTTACATAATAATATTCAGATCCAATTTGGGCGAACACCGGATCCGGATAGAAACTGTTCGGTATGCCAAACATATGCGTTATATTCACGGCCAATCCTGCAAAAACATATAAATATTATTATTGTTTTTTTTTTTTTTTTGTCTATATACGTATATATAATTTTTTTTACATATATATATATATATATATATATATATATATATATATAAAATATAATATTCCAATATATATATATATATATGAAAATAAATTTGCGGTATTTCTTGCTATATACTCTCTGGTTTTCTTCTGGTCGAAATTCTCATTCAACAATTTTTTGGCACTATAAATATTCCTGACTTCATGGTGAAGATTTTTAGTCATAGCACCAATCATTTAACTTCAATTTATAATTCAAGAGCACACTAAATACGACTAACTGGAGAAGCCAAGAGAAACGTATTGATATACAATCCGTATATTAAACTCACCTTCAATGCTGGCCCAACTTACAGATATGCTCCAAAATATGCAAATCCTAAGGAGAGCAAACGCTATAGCTCGACACATTTGAAGGCTTCTGCTCGCTACGAAAGCTCGTAAAGGTATGATTTCATATTTATAATGAGCTAAAGCTGTTGCACATTAGCAGCAAAACCACAATTGGATGATTGTTCTTTCTGCTTTCGCTTAAAAAATGTTTCAAAACAATTATTTATGAGCTCTGTGATTCAGAGACAGAGTTTTGTAAGTTTTCTAAGCTAAGTAAAATGCATAGTAAAAGCGAATTGCTTTGCAAAACAACTTTTTTTTATTAAAACAGATCTAAATGTATTTATGACAAAATCAAAAGAAAAAAATAAACAAACATGAAAAAACTTATGTCTTCAGAGTGCCGAAGATAAAATAGCCTTACAGTTAAATATTTTATGCGAAATATGTTTTTTGAAAAAGCCAAAAATATATATATATTTTGATATTTTGAGGATTTTTATATATTTTGGTACAAATGCTAACATTATTATAATAGATACAATGTTTGAAAAAATAAAAATAAAATAAAATAAAAATATGTACATTTAAATGCTAAAAATAAAGTTGATTAATATATATATTAAATCTGTTGACAAATTTCAACAATTTTTATTAAAATGGAATTTTTTGGATGGAATTTTAACAGTTTTATAAGTGTATATAAAGGTAATCTAAAAATAATTATAATAAAATTTTGTTCATGTTCATGAGCATAAAAGACTTCGTACTTTGATCGATCTTACAGTAGCTATAAGATTTATATAATTACATGTATCCACTTGGCATTGAAAGCTAAGAAACTAGTTGGCACAAAAACAGACAGACGAACGAATAATCCATATACATACATATGTATATATTATCTAACATATCTTTCTCGAATAACAATACTTTCTCTCTCTGCAAT